ACTAGCCATAATCCTCTCCTCAGACAGTCTATAATCTGAGATAAAACAATTCAGAGCAATACATAATACAGCAACACCCTGTACTGTGCAGGACCTAATAGAAGTTCTGAATGACATACGAATGGATTAGAATAGTAAATAAAAGTGATGCAGAGGAGGTTACATTTAAAATAGGCATTGATTTTTTTAAAAAAAGTATTAAGAAATAGAATTTCCTGGAGGATTTTACTCCATTTTGATGATAACCTCTGAAAGCAGGAGCATGTTTTCTTCAGAGAGCTGACTACTACCTGAGAAAGAGCAGGCCTTCACCTGTAACAAATTCATAATCCACCAACCACGCATACACACAGCCTTTGCCACAGATGACACCACGTCTCACTGCTGTGGCAGGTGCCTATGTCCACCAATTCCTCGCCCATACCTTCCCCTCCTCTCAACTCCTTGACTCCACTCCACCCCTTATTGGTTTGCCCCGAATTCTCATCAACAGCTGGGAAGAGATGAAATAGGTCCCTGGCAATGCTGGTGGAAATTCAAGGCACAATTTCGTCCCTAGAAATAATACGACAAAGGTTTGGTGAGCCCAGAGGAAACTACTCAACCTAAAAGGTAACTGCACAAAATAAATATCATTTCACACTGCTTCCAGCGAAAAACATGCTTTAAATTGAAGAATCTATATGGTCTCTTCAGGATGCTTTTGCCAGAGGCTTCCTTCTCTTCTTATTCTGCACACTCTGCCTGGTGGAGCCTGGCCATTCCAATGACTTTAATGACTATGGTCACTCCACCATCTTCCCAGCTATGATTCATCCACAAGCATTTTAGTTCTTCAGACATGCCATGCTCTCACTCACCTGTCTGGGATACTCCCCTACCACACACTTCTTTTAGCCTCTATCCACCCTTTAGATGAGATATTGCTTCTTTGTGGAAGCTTCTTTTAGCCAACTTCAGCCTTAAGTTCACGTTAGGTCTCTCTTGGGAGTGCACCACAGCACCTCACACTTCACCCTTCTCAGATCATACCCTGGGATAATTACCTGTTGACCTGCCTGTCTCCCAATGGACATGAATGAAACTAGAAACCAATGACCAATTAGACAGAGACACAGGATTTAATGTATAATGTATGTGGCAAATCATCAGTCTCCCACTTACTTGTCATTAGTGAAAATATAAGACTTTTCAAACAATCCCAAATACTTCTTTCTATCCTCATTTTAACCTACAATAATGTTGGAAAGGGTAGAAGAGGAGGTAAAATCCAATGTTTTAACGCTTAAATATTTAAGGGCTATTTAAAAGAAAACAGGAAGATCAGATTAATTTAACAGGAAGGTCTAATTAATTAGATACAATACCTCCACCAGTCATGATGCATAAGTAACCCTCAGCTCCCAGAAAATTAAACAAATATCAAGAAACTAAGAACCACAGCATTCCACAAGACCTGAATCAGAATGGGTATGTGATGCCTCTTTCGCACAAGACAAGAAACAGGAAGTACTGGAGCAGCACCTCCACTTCCAGGTTGTTGTTGTATGCTGTCGAGTTAATTTCCACTCATAGCCACCCTACAGGACAGAGTAGAACTGCCCCAAGGAGCAGCTGGTGGATTCGAACTGCTGACCTTTTGGTTAGCAGCCTGAGCTCTTAACCACTTCGTCACCAGGGATCCCCACTTCCAGGTACTAAACAGAAAAAACTGAGGCAATCATCTATAGACTAGAGGCCTTCAAGTAAAGTAGGGGGTAAGGAACTTTAGAAAGGAAGACAGGTGGAAAGACCTCAGAGAAGAATGGAGACTTTAATATTAACGAGTCTCTTGAGAAAACAATGTTTGAAAACCAAAGCAGACCAGCATCTATTAGAGTCAATTCATATCTTCCTAAGTAGAACTAAAAGGTTTGCTGTGGGCTAACCAACACACTGTCACTTAATATACGGTTAGTACATAACATAAGAAGCAATTTGATCCTGGTTGTTCCACCTGGCCCACAGATGGTTGATGGACTCAGCATAAACTGACTATGTGGCAAGAGCCACTGGAAGCCCTATGCAAAGGGAAAGTAGTTTAATTTTAGAATAAAATACTTGTATAGACCTGCATTTCCAAATTCATTTTAAGGAGTATCCTCTCCTTAAGTTAAAAGAACGGAACAATTTCTAGTTTGCCTCATGTTACTATTTAATCCTATAAATTAAAACAAACAAACAGGTAGGGGACTCTAATAACTATCTCCTTTCTCTCTTTCCACCATAGAAAGCAGAAATTTAGAAATGTGTTTTACAGGTTTGCCTGGGTATTCTCTCAGATGACAGAGACAGTCCACTGACCACCTTTACACATTTTTCTTGGCTCAATGCTGCAACACACCCAAAAACATGCCAAGGCACCTATCAGTTCCAATAACCTTTTCAGCTCTGGCGAGGGACTTGTGCTGAAATATGGCTTTTGGGGTATGCCACCACGGCTAACAGTTACACCATGTCCAGTAACATGGCTGCTACAGCACAGAAATGACCATCAATAAGTGAACCACAATGAACATGTGGCACCTTCTCACCAAATTCTGAGAGATCAGAACTATTCCTCTCTTCCCAGGGAAAAAAATGACAAAACTCATGACAAAGAAAAGTTAAAGGGTTCTGAGAGAATGACATTTCCAAGCTTCAGGAACCAAGCCTGATAGCATCTAGCCAATATACATGCAAATTCACCGCTTTAAATTTAGCCAATTGGGTCAGAGAGCCCACAAAAATTGAAAGGGGATTCTTCAAATAAGTATGGGTGGGTAGGTTAACTCTTAATTCTATCTTGTGTAAATGGCTTTGTGCAGCGCGTGGCTATCAGTGTAGGTAGGAAGAAACACATCTAAATCAAAAGCAACACAAAATGTAGAGAAAGAGAAGGGAGGAAGGACAAACCCAAACTTGGCTACATGTAAGAATAAAAAAAGAAGCATGTTACACACACAGGATGGGGAAACATGAGCACAATTAACCACCAACAGAACAACTAACAACTATCAACTACTCTTTAGCCAGCCTCCAACATGACAGATTGGGGAAGCCATCAATCCCTACATTTCTAGCTGTCTCTGTCCCATAGGTTCCGTTTTTTGGGAAGACAGACAAAATAGGTTTGGCCATATAAATTTCTACCATTCTGTATATGAATCAAGACTTCAGGAGAGTTCTGTTCTGTTTTGATGTCTATGGTAGGAGAAATAAAAGATCTTTATGGTTTAAACGTGTATCTGCCCAAACTTCTAAGGAAGATTTTCCCTCACCTAACGTACCATTCAGGTGCATCATCTCGGTGCCAAAAATTTATTGCTGAATTACCTAACCCTAGCACAGAATGCAACTCTAGCACAACAAAATCAGGCTGTCACCACCCAGTAGGATCATATGCCAAAAAGCACATGTCTCCAAAGCTAGAAGGATATATTCTAGCTAGGAGCTCTGTAAGTCACAACATCAAAAGAAATACCACTCACCATCACCAGTGACCCATTCATACTGCTTTATTTACTAATAAGAGGCCCCGCCCTCCCCACTCAAAAAAAGGTGACCCCATGTGTGTCAGAGTAGAACCGTGCTCCATAGAGTTTTCCAATGGCTGATTTTTTGGAAGTAAATTGCCAGGACTTTATTCTGAGGTGTCTCTGGGTAGACTCAAACTGCCAACCTTTCAGTTAGCAACTGAGCACATTAACCATTTGCACCACTCAGGGATTCCAACAAGAGACCAAAAGTACTTGAAAAAATCAAAACCAAAGGAGGGCAGGGATGGAGACCCGGAGCCAGACAAGGATGGGGATCCTGGAGGCCTAATGTAGACAGTCTATTTTTAAAGGTTTTTGAAAGAAAATATTCCCAGCAACACAGATACTTATTTACACCTGACAGTGCTCACCTGTGACTGCACCAAGACTCCAGGGGTCTAGAATTCTGAATGTTCTCAGATCCTCTGGCTCTACTTGAGACTATCAACTACTCTTTAGCCAGCCTCCAACATGACAGATTGGGGAAGCCATCAATTCCTACATTTCTAGCTGCCTCTGTTCCACAGGTTCTGTTTCTTGGGAAGATAGACAAACTGACCACGTTTACTGCCAAATCCCAGTGATTCTCTAGGGTTTACGATAATCTCCTAACCTCTTTTTCTCCTCGCTCGAAAAAAAAGACTACATACTCTAATACAGGTCTCAATACAACATAGGCCTAGGCCAAGTATGTGGTTGCTAAAAAGACTCCCAAAATCTAGGATCTCCACCCTAAAAACTGCTATCACTTTTTTGATAAATGTGAAGAGATTCCTCAAGTAGAAACCAAGACTGCCAGTAACAAGGTTTAACAGCTTTTCCAGAGTACCTCTGTGTAGCACCTCAGGTCAGGGTATTAAAATTTTTGGAGTTGGGTACGACTGGTTAAAAGAAACACTAGGCCTTTTAGCATAAAGCAAAATATCAAGCTATTTCTCTACCACAATAGAAGATTTCACTTATATGTCTGTACATCTGCTTCTTCAAGTGGGAGAAATAATTCTCCCTAATCAGTAATATGTATTAAATGCAAACTCTCAGGCAGAGGAATGCAGACAACTTCTTTCACCTAAGCCCTGCCATCTGACTCACTTAATTTGCTTAAAACCATTTACAGAGAGGAGGGGAGAGGAGATGGATTAGCGTTTACTTCTCCTTTGCCTTATCAGGAACGTCTAAAGTAGTGAAAATTGAAACACATGATATGGATAGTACCTTTCAGAAACAGTACTGACACTTTAATTAAGTCAAAGGCATATGTATGCAGAATAAAGCTGCTCTAAAATGAAACCAAAAAAAAAGGTTAGTTCAGAAAAAACAAGAGCTTCTGTTTAGCCCTTTTAGCCAAAGAAAGGTAAAGATTAAAAAATGATAACAAAATTCCATTAATGGAATGGCAAATATCATGTCTTCTTTGGCTCTACAGCCTGTACACCTTTTGAAGCCAAAGAGAGGACAGGTGAGAAAGGTGGCTCGTGACCTAGAAGGAACTGCGTTCTCTGGGTGCTGTGATACAGCAGGCACTATTCTCCAGATACATCAAAAAATAATTACTCTTGATTGCATCTGTGCTTCTCTGGGCAATTTTCCTTGCCCACAAATCTGTTATAATAGGACTGGGATAATATAATTTAAGTAGTTTCAATTTGTTAGGAGATAAGAGGTATGCCAAGCAGACTAGCCAGCAGAAAGAGGAGATATTTTTCCTTCTAAATTTTCACATAGAGCTCATTCCTAATCATAGTTGCTTTAATCCAATTGACTCAAATGCTTTTCTCCACAATGGAACTAAAGTTGTTACTTGAGGGAAGAATTTAATCCAGTCCTGCATAGCAAAGGTTTTTTTTCATCTGAGGGTGGCTGACTTCAATAATGGCATTTACACTATCCCAAGGGCTTTTTTCCTTTAAAAAAAAATTAGAAGAGACCGCCCCTATGTGAGTCCCCTCCTTGGGACTTTTAGTAGAAAGTTCCTGTGGAACAGTGGTTTTGAAACATTGAGTCCCAGACCCTGTAAGAATCTGATTAAACCCATAAACCTCATCCACAGAAAAATGCACAAGGAACAAAATTTTCCTGTCTGTGGATGCAGGTTAAGAACTCCTAGCCTACAGAGAGTGTGGAAATGATCAAGGTCAGTGGGGGAATGGTCATCCTTGGGGTCTAAAAGAGGACATGTTTCCCTCCCTTCCTTAACCAGAAAGCAGGAACACAGTGGGAATACCAATGCAGGCTCATTTCTGAGGACACAAGCAACTTCAGTTCGGGGGCTTCCCTTGGGCCTGGCAGAGGCCAGGCCTTAGAACTGCGCTGTACTCTGAGACTCTGCCTACCTAATCTCTCTTTCCCCTCTCCTTCCACAAGTATTAGACCTGCCTTGTGGTCTGAAGGCTTTCCTGGCCTACTCCTTTATCCTTCCCAGGTGTTTCCCCAAAAAAACTTCTTATACTTCTAATTTCATCTTGGTGCCCTGCTTCTATGAGGACCCAAACTGACAGATCTGTATTTTGGCAGTTCACCGCACCTTTACACAGCGTCCAAGGAAGGAATCTTATTAGAGTCCTCCCGTCCTCACTCCAACACAGAAACTATACCCCTTAAGACAGTGACTTCTTAAACTTGTCCAGTGGGATGAAACCTGCAGAAGCCAACAGTCCAATGATGTTCTTGTTTCACAGAAGCCAGGCTAGGTTTGAGATTTCTGCCTCCGTGTCTAAGAAAAGACCTACTAAGGATAAGTGCCAATGGTATGGGATAAATTGGTATATAGGGCCAAATCAATAAGAGGCCTTACCTTCACTAGGCTTGAAAATGTGACACTGGCTCATACTGGAAACATCTTTCACAGTTATACAACATTAAACCTGGAGCTGTACATTCATAACCAAGGTCTAAAAAGCAATGACACTATTCAACAGAGAGAAGCTAGAGTAGGTCAAGTAAAAACAGTCAAAGCAAAAATCCTATTAAAAAATGTGAATGACCTTTTGTATTCACTAGAGAGATTCCTACAACAGTTAGTATGAGATTCAAGTCAGTTCTTACAGGTGCCAGTATTAAGTGTGCAAATGCTCTATTGTTTGAGCGCCACAACCTCAATCCCAGCGTCAACTGAGGCTTTCAGTTGAAGGAGTAGGTGAGATTCTGGGGCAAATACAAGGCAGCATGTCAGAATCCAGCCACATTATATCACTTATCCTAAATCATTTCTGTTCCAGTGTTAATGCTTAGAGCATGCAGTATTAAAATGACTGCATCAACCGACCCTTTTCTCCCAGTAGAACATCAAAAATCAACTTAGCATTATTTTTCAATCAGCATGGTAATAAAATATTGTTACAAAATAGGATAGAGAAGTCTTTTTAATTAGAGTTCTACTGAAATTATCAGAGTAAAATAACCAAATGTTTTGTTTTGCAAGCCTTTTTTTCCCACTCTTTATACTTGGTTTATGATGTTAAGCTCTTAACGACAAGAGAAGCCACGTCTACTTAGCTAGTTTACCAACACATCTAAAGCAAATCATAGTCATACTTCTATTTTAACCAAACATGACAGCAACATGATTGAGTAGCAGCTTTCCAAACTGCCAGAGCAGTGGGCACTATCTTGCATAGTCTGGCGTTAAATCAGCACTTCATAAATCGTGCGGGCTCCTGCCCATTTAGATGATCTCTCTATGCAGAATTGGCAGTCTAACACTGGCTCTTGCAAGCATGAAAAATCATCACTCTGCTAACCCAACTCACTGTTCAGACGGGTCTTCCTGAATGCAGCCTTTATTACAACCTCACTGCTGCTTCTTACACTGAAGGAATACCATGTTTTTAAGTCAGGAGTTCTTCTTTCTTGCTTTATTTTAATCAGGGGGTCTTACAACAACCCCAATACTGTTACAAAGCACGGCGCTTTATAACAGTAAAGCTTCTGGAAAACCCAAACAAAAGACACGTCACCCGGTGACGTCAGCCTACATACAGTTCTGTGTGGTCGCAGCACATAAGCAAATCCATTCTTGTGCCGTTTCTCGGAAAAGCTTTTCAGTAAATGCACTCATGCTGCTCCAGGAGCTCTTCTCTGCAACAAGCCACCCATCTGCCATCAACAAGTTAAGACCGAGGGAACTAACGGCTACGGAAAGGAAAAACTGAAGCTTTGATTAACCAGCTAAGCAGTCGGAGGAGGAGAAAATAACATATTCAAAACTGATTTAGAGGATCAGAGCCATCACAGAAAATGAAGCCAGTGCTCTCCAGAGGAATATCCTAAAGAAAAACAAACAAACAACTCACCCTGGTGGATTAAATTTTACTCAGAGAGCCTGGGACACAGAAACAGGAAACTGGTCAAAGGCTCCTGCATGTTAGAGCCTTTTACAGACTCACTGCGCTGAGTCTAAGAACCGCGACTGAATGCAGCCTCCAATGTGCTCAGAAGAATGGGTAAGTCCATGGATTCATGTCTTGTACAGTCAGCAAGGAATCACACTTTTAAATAAGCCACTGAATTCACATTTAGAAGTGAAATCGTTGTCATATTTTTTGATTTTGCGGTTTATATGAAACCATATAATGCTGATGACAGGGACATGTTTTATCCTATTTTTAAATGATGTTTACGTTTTGTTCCAGTTATACTAACAAGGTTAGTTTTTCTGCAGCAAATGTAAAATAAGTTATATGCAGTGAAATCTTCACCATAATGCTGTTGTGTTTTTTTTTTTCCCAATAGTCCATATGATCTGCTGAAAAATATCCTATCTTCTTGTTTCCTTAAATTATATTCTGCAGGCTTACATTTCAAGTGGCCATTAGGGGCCCCTATGCTGGCAGCAATATATGCAATGAGTATGGTTTTAAAAATGCTGCCTGCCCTGGGTATGGCGTGTCCACCCAAATGCCGCTGCGAGAAGCTGCTCTTCTACTGCGACTCTCAGGGCTTCCACTCGGTGCCAAACGCCACAGACAAGGGCCCTCTGGGCCTGTCCCTGAGGCACAATCATATCTCGGAGCTCGAAAGGGATCAATTTGCCAGCTTCAGTCAACTTACCTGGCTCCACTTAGACCACAATCAAATTTCAACAGTAAAAGAAGATGCTTTTCAAGGACTATATAAACTTAAGGAATTAATCTTAAGTTCCAACAAAATATTTTACTTGCCAAACACAACTTTTACCCAACTAATTAACCTGCAAAATTTGGACCTGTCTTTTAATCAGCTATCATCTTTACACCCAGAGCTCTTCTATGGCCTCCGGAAACTGCAGACCTTGCATTTACGGTCCAACTCCCTGCGGACTATCCCAGTGCGCCTGTTCTGGGACTGTCGTAGTCTGGAGTTTCTGGATTTGAGCACAAACCGTTTGCGAAGTTTGGCTCGCAATGGATTTGCCGGATTAATCAAACTGAGAGAGCTTCACCTAGAGCACAACCAGCTGACGAAGATTAATTTTGCTCATTTCCTACGGCTAAGCAGTCTGCACATGCTCTTCTTACAATGGAACAAAATTAGCAACTTGACATGTGGGATGGAGTGGACCTGGGGCACTTTAGAAAAGCTAGACCTGACTGGAAATGAAATCAAAGCCATCGACTTGACGGTGTTTGAAACTATGCCTAACCTTAAAATACTCCTTCTGGATAACAACAAGTTAAACAGCCTTGATTCCAAGATCCTAAACTCCCTGAGATCCCTGACGACTGTTGGCCTCTCTGGCAATCTGTGGGAATGCAGCCCCGGCATATGTGCTTTGGCCTCCTGGCTGGGCAGTTTCCAAGGTCGGTGGGAGCATTCCATCCTATGCCACAGCCCTGACCACACCCAAGGAGAGGATATTCTGGATGCAGTCCATGGATTTCAACTCTGCTGGAATTTGTCAACCACTGTCACTGCTATGGCTACAACTTATAGAGATCCAACCACTGAATATACAAAAAGAATAAGCTCATCAAGTTACCATGTGGGAGACAAAGAAATCCCAACTACTGCAGGCATAGCAGTTACTACCGAGGAACACTTTCCCGAACCAGACAATGCCATCTTCACTCAGCGGGTAATTACAGGAACAATGGCTTTATTGTTTTCTTTCTTTTTTATTATTTTTATAGTGTTCATCTCCAGGAAGTGCTGCCCTCCCACTTTAAGAAGAATTAGGCAGTGCTCAATGATTCAGAACCACAGGCAGCTCCGATCCCAAACACGGCTCCATATGTCAAACATGTCAGACCAAGGACCGTATAATGAATATGAACCCACCCATGAAGGACCCTTCATCATCATTAATGGTTATGGACAGTGCAAGTGTCAGCAGCTGCCATACAAAGAATGTGAAGTATAATATCTACCTGTCATCAAAAATCACATCAGATAAGTAACCTATTTTACATTGTAGGGGCTAAACATATCTAATTTTTACCAATGGTGACATTAAGCCTAATTTTCCAAGCCAAGTGGAGACTTAGTTTTTGAAGTGTTGAAGTATTTTTAATTTTTTTTAACAAAACCATATTTTAAGTGTTAAATGAAGCAATGCTCACATTAATTTGCACTGCTGTTGGAAAGTTTAAAAATGCTCACTTCAAAATAAGACATTTCATGTATGTAATTATATACTATCATGTGTAAACATTTCACTAAGGTCTCCATATGCTATTTTTTTCTACTGAAAAGTTTGGAAAGAAGCTACTGAGCAGAAAAAGATAGGGATCAATTCTTGTTTGATCATTGCTCTCCATCCCACATACCACAACTGGTTTGCTGCTTAAAAGGAGACTTAGCAAAGTTCTCTTGTATGATAATTTGGTATTAACTCAAATCAACAACTTACTGCCAGTATGGGAAGTAGAATTTCACATATGCTGTAGACTGGTAAATATTAAATACTCTTCTTCCAGAGTTTTTGCCTGGGTTAGTAGATATTATCAAAGTCCACATCATGAAATCAGAACCTTTATATAATTCTAACAACCTAAGTGACTCTTTAATATACTTAATAAATCCAAGTGTTTGTGAAAACGTCTCATTACAATGAAATCAATACCAAATAATTACACTGACTTCTTATCATACATCTCTAGTGTGACTTATAATGGACATGTTGATTTATGTGGCATGTTGACTATTATTTTAAGCTAGTAATTACCATTTTACTAATTAATTTACTAAATCCTGTATTTACATTTATATTTTAAAAAGATTTAAAAACTATTTGAGATAAAAGATAAATTGAGTCAATTTAACAATCTTATGACACACTCTCTCTAGTTTGGAACACACACACATAAAGTCTCTTCTTTCTCTCAACAGTTATGCCTTGACAAAAGGGTTTAAACCTTCCTTCTGCTTCTTCCTGATCTTCAAACCTCAAAGAGCCAAATTAAAAATAATTGGCTAGCAACAGGCATAACACTGATTCTTGTTAGAGTATATTATAAAGGAACCATGAAAAAAATCACCTCCTAAATTATTATATGCTAAACTTTAACCTTTTAATAAACATACACATCCACATTGTAAGAGCAGTTCTTTCTAAGGTAAGGGAACGACGCATTACCCAGTTGAACCTTTTCATGGGCAGAACACCTTACATGCCTATGCACCCACACAGCAGTTAACTTGAAGCCAGTCCAAGGTGAGAGGATAAGGGGAAAGGCAGCATTATGAAATGTGGCTCTCGCAGAAGCAGGTTAACTGAAATTACAATACAGCCAAGAGCGAGGCAACCTGGTAACTACACAATCTACATCAAAGAGGGCAAGGGCCCAGGAGCTGAAGTGGTGGGGGAGAGGTTTCTGTGGTATTAATTATAAAGATCCCATAATTAACAAATGATAATGGTGTCACATTTTCATGCAGAAAGAACAAGTATTTCATTTCTTCAATTATGATTTCTGTCAAGAAACTATGACATATTTGGGATAGATACAAGTTACAAATTCACATTTAAAATTCTTTCATAAACAAGGATCCATATATATAGTAGCAAAACCTGTGAAATCAGAGCACTGACCTGATTTTAGAAGAATGAGCACTTTTTCAACTGCCATTTACCTTATGTGAAAAAAGGCATAAATTCTTAGAGAAAACCACTACCATTTTAAAAAACAAGTTATCTTTTCCTAAACATGACCATTAACATAATGATATTCTTCATTCAAGGCATGTTTTCCTCCCAGGTTTGAATTGAAAATATTATGACTACAGTTTAACCCTTAAGATTTAATCAATGTTTTTCCTTTTTAATACTACAAGAGGAGTGTACGTCTATATTTCAAAGAAAATGTGCCTCAGTAAAATGCAAATATGATCACAAATTATGGTAAAAATGTGCTCAGTTTTTTAAGGTGGACAGATTACTTTGACAAAGACTCAGCCCAGTTCAGCTGATTCTGCGCGGTGAGCATTTTATCTCTTATTAAAGCAGGCCCTGCCTGGGCTTGCCTGGGCAGGGACAGAAGCAGATTTAGAAGGATAGAGCGCAGCTCACTGAGGGGATGGATCAGAAGCCCCCTACAAATAAGAGCTGTACAAGCTAAAATTTACCAACCCAATTATCAAGGTGACCACAGCCATTTGTCAGGGGACAGACTGGTCACACCACAACCGTGCCCTGCTCATACAAGATTCCATCAGTCCTGAAGGATAGCGGAGAAGGAATATTTTCCATTATTTCAACCATCACCAAAATTAACTCAAACTGTGAGCTGGAAGGGTTTAAGAAATATTGGCTGGGAAACCCCATATTAATCCTAAAGGTTACAGTTAGTAAAGCGGACCATCAACTGGCAAAATCCTAAATGTACGTGGAAAAAGCGAATTGGAAAAGCCTGCTATTTAGTATAGTAATTCAGGGGAACTGCATAACCAAGGCCACTGAGGCACACTTTCCCTTGAAAAATAATTGATATTTTTTGCTCTCCATTTTTTTGGTAATGTCCTCTGAAAAAAGTGAATAACAGTGCCAAAAAGGTATTTTCCTTTCTCTTTTACAGAGCAAACTTTCCTTTTCTATTGCCTATAGAAGGCAGGGTTCCATTTAATTTTGGTCTATATTGTGCTTTGGTATCAGCATACGTTTGAAAATGAGACTGTTAGGCATCTGTGCTCTCTTTACTAACTGGCTAGCTAGGGTGGAACATCACGGCAACACTGCAGATCCTGTTAACATAGTGTTCGGGCTTTCATTTTTGTTTTGTGGGGTTTTATCCTCTCCCCTTCCCTCCCTTCCTAACATCTTTTTTTTGGGGTGGGGGGAATTAATTTTCAAGGTTAAAGGAAAGTGACCACTTAACCAAGAAAAAAATCTTTCTGGAAAAAATGAAAACTAAAAGCTAAAGAAAGCTATGATACTGTACTCACCTAGCAACCAAGAGCTAGTTTGGAATCGTTTAGATTCATTTCTGTAGCTCACCAGAGATTTCAATCACCTTTCTGAAAAGACAGTGGGCTGGTAAATTTGCAAATCCGTACACAACTCTGAGAATACCCACTGCCACATTAAGAAGTAAAGATACTCATTTTTAAGCCAAAAATCTGTACCAACACATGTAATTTCTTAATGTGCCTAAGTTAATTTCTGTACCAATTCAATGAATGGAATTGACTGAACTTCCCAACTCCACTAATTATTAAAATTCATCTGCTTATTCTAATGCTAGTCACTAGGAGCTAGACTCCATCTTTCCAATAAAATGAGCCCTGTGTAGCACTAGGTCTGAATCCTAAAATTCAAAACAGGGAAATCATTTTCTTAAGGCATACTTCCTACACACAGGTATCAGGAAAAAAAGTTATAAATGCCCTGTTCTTTCTCTCTTAACTGTGGATATCAATATGAAATTTTTTTCAGAATATTTTTAGCAGCTGACTTATATAATTATTTTCCTAACAGAGCAATACAGTGACAGGTGTGTCTCAGAAGTCAGCTTTGGTACATGCTTTTCATATCTTATTGGTTAAAGTCCTTCAGCCAGAAAGAGACAAAGGGCCATCTACAGATAATTAAGTATTTCTTTATCTAACCTAGGGCAAACTCGTAGTACTCAAATAAGACCAAAAACAAATACAAAATGACTGTTTAAGCTTGCGTACTGCTGTCGCAAACATTTGGAAACTTCTACTCTTTCAACTAACCTTTTCTTCCTGGGTGATTTGAAAAAAAAAATCTAATATATGGAATGTTTGGTGAACCTTCCTATCAACACTGAGACCGGAGATTCAAAGTATAGTCAAAACACATTGTGTTCAATCACCTTCAAGAGCCATTTTTTGGTGGGAGGTGGGAAGGTGGGTTGGGGGTGAGAAGAAAATACTATTATATGGGAGTCTTTGGGGAGGGAAAGGGTAACATAAAGTGCAGTGTACAGGAAAGTTTTGTTATTAAAATTGTGTATACTGTAAAAAGTGAATGCTTTTTTTTTTTTTTTTAATTTTTCCTTGGTAACCTAACAATTTTGACATGTGAAATTCTAAAAGTCATTTGTGACAGATACCTTAAGTGAACAGTTGTTTTATACCAAGTTTCTCTACAAAGCCAAATGTGCCTACCGGCAGCTACTCACCTTGTCTTCATTCAGAGAGAGGCAAAAACAGAGAGAAGCGGGTAGGAGGTATGCAACTAAAAAGCCATCGTGACAATAAAAAACAGCCATGCTATAAAAAGCTGTCCTATCACAATCACACAAATCTTAGCAAGCAGACAAACGGCTGTCCCTGCGGTTCACAGGGCCTAGGTTGGCCACCACCCCACCCTCATGGTGGACCACTGCCACAGCTTGGGGAGCTTCAAAAAGGCACCCCAACTGTTGGTACCTAGGACCAGCAGCAATTTGGCCTCTACCTCAAGGGTCAGTCAGGGTAGATCCCAACAGTGCCTTGAACACCGATCCTGGGGTGTGTGCCGTCCATGCTGGGACCACTAGGATCCCTACATGACCCACTCTACCCCAAACACCAGCTCAGTAAGTATGGATAGGGGAAAGGAAGAGAAGATTTGTAGCTAGTGTCCCTCGCTTGGCACAGTTAAACACTGTGGGACAGGATGCTAAGCCTGGGTGGTTCTGGGGGCAGAAACCGCCCTGGCCTTGAGGCGCTGACTGCCAGCAGTCTGTCAGACTTGCCAGGATGTACCTGCCACTCCTCCAGCCCTGCAGCAGTACCAGACAGGTGGGAACAAGTAAGGCAACCCCTCTCCCCAGGCCCAGTGACGCTGGGATCAGAAAGTCTACAAGAGACAGAGCTCTGACACCAGGAATCTCAGCAGTTAACTAGGGCAAAGGCAGGAAACACAGCACACAATTTTACTGTCAAATTTGCACAGCATGCACTTGAGGGCATAGGTGATGGAACTAATTCATACACTTTATGAAGTAAAAGCACAGCTTATTAACAAATAAATCTCACACATTTTAATCTTGAAAATCCCTTGTAGACCTACATCTGATTTCGTTATCAGTTATTTTAATTAATTTTGCCTGTATGCCACAGCACTCTCAGGTTCCCACTCAAATTTATAATAGATTTCTTCAAGGTCCATTTAAAGAGAATTGTTTTGGTTTTTGTTTTTGTTTTTTCCCTTTAAATATATCTAACCAGCTGAGTACTCAAGTATTCCTTAGAGAGACAAAATGTACTACAAATTGTCTTTTACAAAGAGAGACGTGGAGAAGAGGTGAAAATTATAGCTATTCCAAACATCTCTCCTTAGTATGAGTTTCACCTTACCCCTCACTAGCCAATGTTTTGGGAAAACTCTTAAGGGACAGAACCCTGAACCTCCCGTTCCCCATATCTGAAGGGGGCATTATAAGAGCAAGAAATCTCCAAAGGCAAGTACAGTGAAGCTGCCTATCCTGGAGAGGCCACAAACTAAATAAACCATCTCCACACACGGAGGTCCAAGGGCAAAGCCTATCCCACCGCCTCCAACACAGGAATCCCTCGCAGGAAATTCAGCAGGAAGGAGTGTCTGTGAAGGACGACCCTGACCCCAGACAGCAATGGTTCCATCTCCACCCAAAGGGAGAAGGGTCAGTCAGAACTCTCCTCACCCCATGGAGGCTCATCCCTCACTTGGGAACTAGATTTTTAACTGTAGCCCCAGAGAAAATTCCCAAAGTCTTTTTATACTTTTCATCAAGGGACTGTACCAAGAATCACAAGAAAGAGATGTAAAAATGTCACATAGTTAAACATTAACTTTACTGAATATCCACCCACAATTGTGCTTAAGAGCACAAGAACTCCATCTTGGTCGTTGTTAGGTGGCGACTCGATTCTAACTCACAGCGACCCCATGTAAAAAAGCAGAACTGCCTCATATGGTTTTCTTGGCTATAATCTTTACAGAAGCAAACTGCCAAGTCTTTCTCCTGTGGAGCCACTGGGTGGGTTCAAACAGCCAATCTTTGGGTTAGCAGCTGAGTGCTGGTATTTGTACCAAAAAAAAAAAAAAAATTTGTACCATCTCCAGGTTGCTTTTTTCCAGAAAATCACCAGACAAGAGCTCCACAGCCATTTTTATTAGCCTACCTGTTTCTCATCATCATACGAGTAAAAAAAAAGTTGTCTTGTGATTAAAAAAAAAAATTTCCCATTGTCTAGAGGTCCCTGGGTGGCACAAAAGGTTTGCACTCAGCTACTAGCCTAAAGGTAGGCAGTTTGAACCTATCCAGCAGTGCCAACCTACCCAGCAGTACATGGAAGAAAGGCCTGGCGATCTGCTTCCACGAAGATTACAACCAAGAAAACCCTATGGAGCAGTTTTACAGAACACGGGGTTGCCATGAGTTGGAGCTGACTTGAGGTAACAAGTATGGCTTACTGGTTTACCTCCAAAGACATGAAGGGCAATTTCTCAGCACCCAAAACCTCTGAAAACAATGTATTTATTATTTACATATGGCCTACTTCTATAGAGTCAGGAAACTTATAATACTATATTCATATTTACAACATAGTTAAAATAAGGATGCAAAATTATCAAAAGAAGGGATTCTTTTTTCTTTTTCTTTAAGAGGGAAGGTCTTTTTTTTTTTTAACTGTTGTAGTCTAAATGAAGTTTACATTTCAAGTTAGTCTCCCTCACAAAATTTTATACATACATTGTTATGTGACCCTAATTGCTCACCCCACTCTGCAACAGCACACTCCTCCTTTCTGTCCCTGATTCCCCAAAAGAAGGGATTCTTAACCCCAAGGGTCCAGAATGTGTCAGAGAATGCAAGAACCTCTTGAAATTATCATTAAAACTCAACATTGTGTGTGAGCTCACATATTTCACAAGACCCTAAAGGATTTTGATAACTCACAAAGAAGGGTTAGGAAGCCCTGACAGAGCAACCAAATAGCCATTTCTACTATACAGCAATTTTGTCTTGATCTTCCAGGTGGTCAAGGCAAAGAACTAACAGTTTTCATCTGATAAAATGGAATATACTGACTTATTTGGGGAGAGAGAGAGACTCATAGGTGCAAAAGCCTGTGAATTACATATAAAATGGAGCTAGTTGTAAGAACAGTAAAAAAAACATAACTGACAGGATCTCCAAGGAAGCTCTGTAGGACAGGTAGGCTTGCTCTTCATGTCAAACCTTGATAAAATATAAGGGTACAAAGCCGACACAGCATGTTACATGCTTTATGCTGATCTAGCAAAGGCTGGAGCCTAGAATGACTACAGGAATGAATGTGCACTCTCTTGGAAGAGCAGCTCATGTGCTCCTTATCACTTCCCTGGAACCCAAACTAAGGTGTTCCAACACCCAGTAAATGTGTACTACATTACATTGCAAGGAGTCCCTAGGTGGTGCAAATGGTTAAGCATTGTAGTACTAACTGAATGGTTAGCAGTTCAAACCCACCCAGAGGCTTCCTGGAAGACAGGTTGGCGCTCTGCATCCAAAAGGTCAGAGCCTTGAAAACCCTATGGAGCATTTAGTTCTACTCTGCACACATGGAGTCGCCATGAGTCGGAACTGACTTGATGGCAACTAACAACATTACACATCTTCTACACTAGAAGAACAATTTGAAATTTAAAACATCTTCCACTACATCATGAATAAGCAAACACGTTTCATGCATCATCTGTAGTTGTGCTAATAATAATCATAGTCTCCTTGGTAAAAATCTATAAGATGATAATTAATTCCCTAACAAAGAACACATTTTAAAAAGTTAAAACAATCATTGGTCTAAACAGCTGTCAGAAATCTATATGTCTCTTTAAAATTTAAAACTCATTCTCAGGTTATTAGAAAAACCACCCAGATTCCAGCAGGAGCGAGTAGCATGGCGGTAAAGAGGCTCCTCCACACTTGGGCCTTTGACCCTGAAGAAGTTCCTCACCTCATGCTTAAAACTGAATTAACAGCAGTAAAAACCATCGGGGGAGTTAATACATGTACAGTCCTGAGAACAGCTTGCACACAAAAGCTCAGTAAATGTTTGGTATTTTTTGATTGCAATATGTGGAGAATTAGATGGTATACATTCAGCAAGTATAAAATGAAATCACAATACAGACATGTTACACCCATGGGTTGCTCTCCAAAGCTCCCTACTTCTAGTTTTTCTTCTCTTACCAAGTCAAAGTGCAGTACCCAAAATGAGGACTGATAATTAGCCAAAGCTTATAATAAGCCTCAACATATACTTTTTGAATATACTTTTTACATCTAATATTGAAATAAAACTGACCATATTATCTCAGAGTCAAGTAATCTGCTTTACAAAATGTATTATAATATTAGACACAGCATTACTCTGGTTTACCTTTATGAATCAAGGCTAAATTTCTAAAGGTTTAGAACCCCTAATTCCAGTATCATTTCAGGATAAGGTAGTCACTTAAAATCTAACGATCCCTCTTGTCCTTGCGCATTAAAATTATATAGAACAGCACATCTATATCTATTATAATAAACTGACAATATTTTTCAAAAGAAATTTAAAAAAAATCTCACTGACGTCTCAGCTTCTGACAACTATATTTTAGGACAAAATATGTGGTTGAGAATTAAGGATCATTATTGTGTTCATCCTCTGCTAAGAAAAAACGTACTTCAAGTCTACCACATCTAATTTAGGACACAGCCCATCCAGTTGTGGCAGATTTGGTTCCCAGGCAGATTTGCCAGAATTATGGAGGG